CACCACCACCACCACCACCACCACCACCACCACCACCACCACCACCACCACCACCACCACCCGCCTTATCTGTCTGACGTTAACTAGTCCACCTGAATTGGCTTAGACATGGACGACTGCGGCACGCACAAAAAAACTTGGTTAAGGTGTCTAGTTAACGGTTGCACCTCGCTCTCTCCGGTCTTCTTAATCTTCGCGGGTATATTCGACGCAGTATTTTGAGTCAATATGGCGGGACCCTCAGGAAATCGTTTATCCAAAGAGTCCAGCCTTCGGCGTAGACAGTGGTCTTACCGTTAATTCCAGATGCTATTCCGAGGCTTCAACGTAATTTAGAATGGTGAAACTATTGACAATTTCAATTAATGAATGGGTGTTGTAATCATTCTCCCCTTTGTACCAAAAATCGATAAAACAAGACTCTTGCAAAAGGGAAATGAGGTTGTTTTTTTAATAGGTGGTTAGATCACAGGCGCAAAGCGAACTCAAAAGGAAAATACAAAGAACATTCCTAGTCCCGCATCTGCCGAGGTGCGTAAGCGTATTGTAAAAGCACTGAGATGAAGAAATAAATGGGTATTGGCTCTGTTTCGAACGCAGTTGATGACGCCTTCTCCTAGTCTCTCATTTGGAGGGGGCTGCGGCGCTGCCAGATTCAGTGATTGCGGGTGTTTGCGAGCGTTCAAGGAGAGCTGTCGGATTGTCGACACCTTCGTTGTTATCTTTGGGGATTTCGTCGGGATGCAGGATGCTAACCTCTTCAGGGTGTTTGCGTAACTTCAGGCGACGTTTGCGGGCCTCCTCAGCAGAGCGAACACTCCCAAAAGCCCCGATTTCACCGTCCTTGTCCACCGAGTCGACGCCACGATGATTGGAGTTCTCGTTGAAGTTCTCCCGCCAACGTCTTCGACCTGACACGGCGAGTTTGTGCTTGCGGCGACGGAAGAAGCCAAACCGGTAGAGAATTATAGTGAGGAAGGCCAACAGCAAGATGCCAAGCACTAGACCCACGACAATCGGCCAGATGGGGATTTGGTAAAGGAGATCGGTTTTCACTTGGGGGAAATAGAAGATCTGTGGTATTTCAAAGCTGCCACAGGGTTCAGGAGACCGAAGAATACCTTTTGGAACTGAACCTTGATCCACAGTTAGGCTAGTTACAATCTAAAACAAACACTTTTACAGTCAAACTTCCTGCCTTAGACACTGATCTCAAAACACTTCCAATTGTCATATTACATGGTATGCCTCGCTTCTTGCATTGTTCTTAGCTTTTTTTGCACGTTTGTCTAAATGGAATGAACAGAGACACCCAATGCTTTGTTGTACGAGTCTAATACCAAGCCGCTGTTCCAGATTGCCAGTTAGGAATTGTCCCGGCAAGACGGAAATGGACAGGATTTCAAAGAAGACTAGCCTATGTTTGCAACGTTTCCAAAGGTGCATCTTTTCATTGTGAACGACCTTTTCCCGAGTCATCAACCCCGCAGTAATGATTCACAAGAAATGTGGTGATCGATTAGCCGAGTGTTACCACCCAACTGTTCAATGTACCTCGATATCACCTTTGATCTATGGACGTAAAATTCCCCCAATGTAAAACAAATTTCCTCACCAATCATGGGGCGTTTTTTCCACCTTACTGTTGTTGGATTAATAACCACGAAGATCAACCGATCAAACGGGTAATTAATCGGCTTTATAGTCACGAACTGCACCTCTAACAAACACCAATACCAGGTGTGAATTTACAAATAACCAACCACAAGTGCTACGCTAATGTTCCCACGTTAAATGTGGAACTGAAGGCTGTCGAAATGGACTAGCACTCCTTTTATGCGTGCCTCGGATACCGTGGTGACCTCAGTCATTTCAGCAGCTGCAAATAGATGAGGCACAAGCAAAAGTGCAGATTCAAACGGGATGACGACCGACAGCTGTCGTGACTCTTATTCTTATTGATTTGCAACACACTGCCCCCAGTTCAGTCATAGAGGACCACCTGCAAGCCTCCACTACCTCTTGAAGTCTTCTGACAATGACCAGCTATTCGTACCTCAACTAGTCTACCCACGCTATCGATCAATAAGTACTTTGGACATGTACTACTTCGAGCGGACTCACTCACACACGACACAACTCGGTTGAGCTGTCAAGTAAACGGTTGCCTTCTCGGCATCTGAGGCGCGTAAACGAGCCAAATTCAACTCCGCGGTCCCACGATGGTTTGAGACCGCATAAAGGGACCCATAAAAGCATCTTTACTCACTAACTTAATATAATTTGGAGTCCTACGCACGACTATTACTTTCAATGACTACTTCCTCCACAAGTTAATGCACCAAATTGTAGCTCGCTTTAGATATCTGTTGTCATTTTCCGAAGCAAATCTGTGCTACCACCGCAACGTGCAATACTCGAATTTGCAAGACTAACTGCCATTTCAGTCCAACGAAGGAACGGGTTTTAATATGAGAAGCCGTGACCTTTTCGCAAATCTCCAGTATGTGCCAACCGAAAGCCCCGTTTACAATCACTACGAAAAAAACATGGGTCATTAAGTGCGCCCGTGGACAGAACCCTGAAAACGCTACAGCGTTGTTTTGGTGCACAGGGCAGTTTAGCGATTGGTAGACCCAACTGTCCGGAATCTGGGTCAATGATGATCACATCCAAGGAAATAGCCTGAGGCTGCAGACAGCCATGATTTGCATTCCACAGGCAGCTTACCTATAAGTGTAGGTACGAATAGACGAGAAACTCGTTGTTTTTGTGTACTTTTTGCTGTCAAGATTTTGCGGCGACGTGTGTAAACTGCGCACACACCGAGCTTGTCAAGACTTCAAAACACGAACACGCCAACTCAACGGCCTGGCTACAGGTCATTTCGGCATGGAGCTGCTAGATATTAAACCTAGGGCGAACGGAACAGTCGACCAAATGTCACGTGATGATCCTACACGCCCTCCTAGCACAGGGCACTATCACTGTCAGTTCTATAAAAATAGATTGCCCCGTAAATGGCAACCTTGTTGCATTCCACAGTTGCAAAGTTAGCGAGGAAATGTCTTGTGGTTTCCATTTGCGCTTCCTCGATGACTGCATCAGAAAACTACGAAATGTTGCAGCCAATCTGCTAATTACTATTCTCTGGAAATCGTTTATTGCAAGTTCTAGTGTGCTAGAGGCTTCGATTAAGCACATGAGTCGAAATTTACGAAATTTTCACGGTGTTGTTGGGTCTAATTTAGTGATAATGCAAATTCTGGTGTAGTAGTAGTTTGCAGCAATGGAATAAGCATTATTCTCACGCATCTGGTGTTCACCATGGAAAACACTTAGCGTGTCCGTCTGTTTTTAAGGAAATTCTTACAAAGTACCCTTCTTGGCTAAGAATTGATGACTAATCTAGCGGTGTACAGATTTTGCCTTCGCAATTACAGAAGTTAAAATGTTTGGTGAATTTTAACGCCAAGAAACGCCGCGATAATTGTAAAAGAGGAACTGCTTATTGAACATACTTAAATCAACTAATATGCATTTATTTAAAAATAACTAATTTAATAAAAAGAGGGCTATGGCTATGCAGGGCTACTCAGGGAAAAATTATGAGTCTTTTTATTGATGTCGGTGAAAAGGCCCGACTTGCTTGCTTAATCTCGGGATTCTATAATTAAATTGGCATTTGACTGGTTGCCTTAGAACTAGCTGCTTCCCAAGGATATGCTTGGCTGTGCCACTGAACCAATAGGCGACGGGCACTTGAGCAGACGGTCGGAATTTCCTAAGCAAATCTACTTCGGAAAAAATTGACTATTCAAAAGGTTATCTGTAGTATGAATTAAAGCGGCAATTTAAAAAAAAACATTCCCGCGGATGAGAGGTTTGTGAATGAGAAATTTTGGTAAATTTGGCTTAAAGTAAAAGCTTAAATCCTGGTAAATCCGAAACAAATCAATCCATTAGAGTAACTCGGTCAAACCGCGATGGTGAAATCTTGCAGGTCAAAACAGCTTTTCAGGAAAAACTTACGCCCCCGCCTGTGAGGTGCGTGGTAAAATGTGAAGAATTTGACGATATTTTCAGACGCAAAATGACTGCCAGATCAACCTCATATTTTGCACACGTGAACGTAATTTCCGCGCGACTTAAAAGAAGCACTTAAAGAAGAATCACATGATTTGGAAAAAGGGTATACCAAGTGACTGGAATTACGGAAGCAGGCACGATTTCAGATGGAGGCATCTAAGAGCGCAGAGTTTTGTCCAAAGTGGTGCTTTTAGTTGAACAAATAACAAGGAACTTGTTGATTGGATAAATTTTACACAGCTAAGAACACAAACAAATATTTCAAAAATGGCATCTTGAAATCGGACAGATGAAGTTAAGAATAATTCAAGTGTTGTGAATCGTGCTTATTCACACCCCTTAATCCGGTCGCTCCACCTCCGACACAGGGTTCCCCTTTTCCCCTCAACTCCCCCCTCATTCACACGGATATTTACCTTGGATTATCCTCACACCTAGGTCTCGGTGTTAGCGCATGTATGACTCACGCATCCGAGGTATAAATACACACGCACAAACCCCACACACGACACCAACGTGGTTGAGCTCGGGAGTAAGCGGTTGTGTCCACGTCCTCTCCGGTCTTTTTCTTCATCGCGGGTATCAGGGGAACGTAATCGGGCCAGGGTTAATTCCGTGGCCCCGGCGTGGTTCAAGACCACATGCTGGGGCCCACAACACAAGAATATCAAAGTAAAACATGTGTAAGTGGAAATCCACGTGGTGTTGGAGCACATGGCTTTACTGATTTTCCTAACAAGCCCTATCAGGAGTAAATGCTCTGAATTGAAGTGTAAAAATGACGATGATGGCCCCCTTTTTCATGTCATTTTAATGTTTGCTTCCAGTATAAGGAATTCTGAAGTTTACGGTTAGCCAAGCGAATCACCAGCCCCAATTTCGAATGGATACTTAACCACACTGACTGTGATCTTGTAGAGCAATTTAGCTTCAAATTGCGTGTGAGTTTATCAACAGATACACCTAAGTTTGACCTGCTGATTTCAGTTTGCGTCTCACGCGTCGACTCGTGACCACACTATTCCCCAGCAGACTGTGATAAGCACACCTCAACAAACAAGACTTTTGGCGAAAATTCACAGTCGGGAAAAAACAGCGCCTCACCTCAATGTCCGAGGTTGAATGCTCGAAGAAGGTTGGCGCGTAAAGCCAACCCGTTATGGTAATCTGCACTGGTCGTTTCTGTTCGAGCTCCTTCAGGCGACAGACGATCTCGAGGCAAACTGGCTTACCAAACTTGTGACCAACTCGTCCGCATTGGATTACCTAAAAGCCAACACATGGGCACATAGTTAAGTTCCATCAATGTCCGCGTTCTAACCAATGAGTGGCGAAGTATTCGTCCCATTAAAACAGCCGAATTTTCACAACAGGGAACCAACTTACTAAAAATGAGAAATTCGGACAAATTTTACATTTTCTGTGAGAAAATTTATACAAACAAGGCAGTCTTCAGACAAGCTAGTGTAGGTGTATGACTTATCACAGTTTATCCCAAAACCCAACTTTCATCACTTTTCTAACCACGGTCTTCCGACGAGCTGTAAACGCTTTCCAGTTTCAGCTGTGTCAAAATTACCCGTTGTCGTACTAGTACAAAAAGCCACACTCTTAAAAGCCTGGAGGCTGCACATCACCTCGCATGAGTCACAGGTTGAGCCTCACACCCTAGCGTCATAGCTTACTCACTAAATCTCGAGTTCCACACTGAGCTGTATCCAAGATCGAAAGGCGTTTTCGACATGGCAACATGACCTCAGACTCAACGCTGATTAGGCGTAAAACCGGCTGCAAAACTAGGTAATAACTTACTCACCAAAACAAACTTCGGTTACTCAAAACACAGGACACTTTATCTCCAAAAAAAACTAATATCTAAAGGTCGATTTTCTTTAAATGGAGCCATAAAGACACCAAGCCTCTTTAGAGCGAACAGATGATTATTTTCGAAACGTCCACATGCAGGGCATGCGCGCACACAGTGTGGCCACACCTGCCCAAATTCAGTCATGTGGAAGGCTTAAATTATACCTTCGATTCTCTAAAAGTTGTTCGCTGCTTACCACACAACTGTCGCTTCCAGAAGACCTCGCTAAATCGTGAATATGGCTTGAAGTGGGTGCGTGCTTGTTGTGCTAAGGTAAAGAATTCTCCCAAACGGAGTAATTTAGTATGGTGTCAAATTTGTAGCGCTCTGACACCGCATTTAAAGTGTTACATGTAGTGTTGGAGTATTGGTCCCCGTGTTTCAGCGATATCTAGGAATTATCCGAAAGAGGTGTTTTTGTTAGACATCACTAAATGCACAGATAAAACCGCATCAATTGGTTTCGTGACGATTTTAATCAGCCCTAGCAACCAATTTGTCCATTTTTTAACTGACCAATCATGCTGCTGGGGAGTGTTCAATCCACCATGGCGTTTAGGTGCAGTCTGGGCGTTGTATTAGGTATGTGACTCCATTTTTGCATATTCATTATTCGAGCTTAAAATTGTGTTTAAAAAAAATTTTCGCGGTTTTTTTGGTTTTGAAGGATCGCACGCAAGTCTACACGAGTCACATAATCTCTCAGACTAGCAGAGTTTACGATGACAACTGATAAACAGCGCATTCGGTGGCACTGCATTTTATGCGAATTGCAACAGCAAGGAA